ACTAACACTACGACGACAACGACGACGACTATTATCACACTACTATCACTACGATCACTACCGCCACATGGACGCAGACGATTGTGGTGATTGAGATGTCCTTGATGGTGGTATAGGAGTTGCCGTTGACAGCACTTGACATGCATGCACCGAAAATGCCAACACAGCATCTCGATACTCGGTGACAAACACACTGAAACTGCTTCGCTGCACAAGATGCAAGACGTTTGTTTTTCAGATGTTGTCAGGATCCCGCACTTTTCGACGACGCTGTGGAGACTGTGAAGGCAATGCTCGTCGCTGCGGGTGGCGAGCAGTGCAGTGTTCATCGGTGTGACACATGCGCTGTCCGTGCTGGAAACGAAAACAGACTCGTAATGAGCTGTGTCCATGTCATTCAAGGGCTGGCTAAAGCAACCACGGCTGATGCTTTTGTGCCATGAAGTACATGCACGGATCGCCGAAGTGGACAGAAACAAGTACCCGTTTTGTTTCTGTGGCCCGGTACTCGATCGCATGAAAGCCACTCCCATTTCGACTTGTTCCAAAACATGCCGACACTATGTGAACATAGTTCTAGTAGACGCTAGGCATTGCACGAGGCAGGTCGAAATCGGCGCTCTGACATGTCTTGTGGTGATGCAAGTGGCAGTACCTAAGTCAGCGACTATAACAGGATCCGAATGCCGACATTGCCCGGATGCTTCGTCAATTCCTCAGTTGGTGCATCCCGTGTCGAGATCCCAGATGACCATGCCGCGCTGAACCCTGACTTGTAGAGAGCGAAAGCTTGGCAATGAAAACTCGACATTGACCAAGAAACTTTCAGCAAGGACTTGGGCGAGAGTTCCTGGAATTGGCAGAGACCTTCAACTGCCCATTGAAGTACGATCCATGCTGGAAGATTACATCAGGAGAAAATGTGACTGAGTCTTTGGCAGGTACCCTCCCACCAAGTCCGAACGCTAGCCAGTGTTGGTTCAAGTCTTTGAAACTTGTACGGCCTGATGTGGGAAGCTTTTCGAGGTCACACCTTTTCAAGATCCTACATCGGCTGATTGGAGCTGACCAGGCAAGGCGACCAACCGAGAACAGAGGTAACTAAGCAGGTCGATGCCGCACCGCACATTGATTGCCCTTTCGTCAAGAGCATGGATCGTCAGACGGTCCTGCAAAGTGCTGAACAGTCAGGCGACAGCACGTCGCAAGGAGGCGCCAACTGCCAGATCGGGTGCCGCAGTGTGCGCACAGTGTCTGTCTCAGGCGGCGGGGCTGCCTCTCTCCAAGCAGGAGGATGGGGATGGGCTATGTCTTGTTGGATTTCTGGATCCCCTTGAGGCATCTTGAGGCCCTTCCTTCTGGCAGGAGTTGAAGCTCGAACTGATGCGGTGTCCAGTTTCAGATTTCACCTCGATCCGACGCGCACTTGATGTTATCGAGGCACGCGACTTGCGAAATCCGTTCACCGTGCACGAATAGAGTGCGGGTGTAAATCATGAATACGTCACATGCGACAGATCGTCAACATGCCATGTTGATTCAGGGGTTTCTGGAGTTGTCTAAGCAAAATATCACTTAGCATAAACTGCTGGCTGTGTCTCTAATGACCCTTCGGCGAACAGTGCACTGTGGGCCGTTGGAATCGGGATTGGTCCACCCCGGTCTTTGCAATGGTGACGGATTCAGTTGGAAGTAGTGCTTTTCTTCCAAGAATGGGTCTGCTTGACTTTCACAAAGTGGCAGTTGCGATCACAGCATGTTGCAAACTGTTTTGTTTACATGCATCTCCTCGTGTTTGCTGCACATGTGTTGGATGGCTTGCCTTGGACAGGCAAGCTATGCCCAGAACTCTGAGCCATTGGGCGTATCATGGTATCGCCGCTGGAGAAAAGGTCTCCTGGTTCATGGAACATGCAGTGCTAGAAACAGATACTGCTTACACTTCAGCAAGCATTGGTTGTTGCAGCTCCCTGGTTTGACTCAAGTTTTGGTTTCCGTGGGTTTTTGAAGGAAACCTTCAAGAACCTGCGGCTTTAGAGACCCTGTGAATGGGGCTGCCTGCTGCACAGAACTTGGCCACGAAAAGTACGCCGTGGGGCTTTTACTTCCATCAGCTTGTTCATGAGCACCGGCCCTATACAGCTTCCGTAAGAAAGGGAAGCCGAGATGGAGGGCCAGACGATGGCTTTGTAGAAGACTCCGCATAAGTTAGAGGGACAGTAGCCATTGCAAGCTTGTGTGGAAACACTTCTGTGTGGCAGTCCGTTCATGGAGCAGCCCCCCCATCGCAACGCAATGGCGTTTGAAGTTGAAGTCGAATCAGAGATTCTCGAGGCGTGGCAATTTGGGCGAAGGAATTTCAACATCTGCAAGCACTTGCCTGCAATTCAATCACCGCGGAAGGATCGCAAGACTGCTCTTTAAGCAGCTTTCCCATGTTGCAGGAATCGGGGAGCCATTCCGAGCTAGAGCAGGAGAGTGTCGGCTTCGAGGGTACGCATGGGTTGAAGGCTGACATGCAGAACACCGTGACAGACTTGAATCCGCAGCACCCGTTCTAGTCCGTTCGGCTGTTCAGCAACACCAGGATCACAGCTTGATGTCGTCTACTCCGAACTCTATCACCGCATGCTCCTTGTGATTTTGAGTAGGTGCAATGTGAAGACTCACATACGAGCCCTTTGTGAAAGTGGTACCAGGGTACACCCAAGGGATTATCTAGACCTTACCGTCCGCCGCATGCGTTACCGGAAGATGCTGGCTGGAGCGTACAGGAAGTTTTCAAAATACTTGCGCAGGACGAGATTCACTCTCAAGCTTCCCTGGATGAGGCCGAGCAGGACTCAATGCATAGCACATTTTTGAAGTTGACGATTCGTTGTGAGCAGCTCGTTTCGACCCGTTGTATGCGATCGTGTGAAGCTTGAATTGGCTGCAATCCAGAGCACCAAGACCTGCTTCAGGAGCTGTTTGTTGACATCGTGATTACAACTAATCGGGACTCGCACATCCTCGGGCTGGACGAGGCTCTTCTACAAGTAGCCGGAGACATGCTAGTTCCGAATTCTCGAATCCTGAGGTGCCTGGCAGGTGTGATGCCGCTGTGACCCCTGCCGCTTCCGCCACTGTCAGCGCCCCAGAGGAAGCAAGAGCGGTTTCGGATTTAACCTTTGCGGAGAAGCTTAACCATCAGTTGAGGATTTCTGCTGCAAGCTCCTTGTGCCTGGAACAGCACTTACAATCTTCAGCGACTTTCCCTTAACCTTGACTATGATGACTATGCTTCACTTCGGAGCTGGTCGACTTAGCATCTGCGCTGCAGGTTCCTGCATACTACGCAGGCTCCTTGCAACACTGGTACTGGAACAAGCGTTCTTAGAGGGGTCAAAAAGCATGCTGTGGAGAGGAGGAATGATCGGCAAGCGAGGAAAGAACATGACACAGATCGAAAAGCTCGATCCTCAGGGCGCAACAATGCTCGCCAGACCGATCATATCACATCGCTGTATTTTGGAAGTTCTTGCCCGTCAAGGCTGACTCAGACGAGCATGAGCATGTCTGGCGTCGACGTTTTCTTTCCAGGCCCAACTGGGCTTCATGCCACCTCTTATTAGCGCACTTCTCGCTGCTTGTTAATTCTGATGAATTCAAACATGGATTTTCGGTCGGAGAGGCGCTGAAAGAATACCGTGACAAGTGATACTTACCGGTTATGCCCGTGGTCAGTGCCGGGTACAGTATAATGGATTCGAGATGGCTTTCGAGTATTAGCAAGAAGAGCTCGCCAGCGGATTCATGAAGTAGATGCGTCGCTCTGACTATGCTGCGTGGATCCACAGCTGCAAATCTTGGAAGGAAGGCCTTCTTTGAATCGCTACTATACGCCTGTGGCCGTCGCAGACGCCGGAGCCACCGTGTGAACGCACGGATTGCCGTGGTTCGAAGCTCCGTGCAAATGGGCAGGGCTTCTCAGCTTCCACCCCTCGTCCTTCCTAGTTTCATTAAAAAGTGGTTTTATTGGCCTGGCCCAGATGGACTCCAAAATGGGGGGGAGTAATGGTGAGTGTATAGGCTGCTTTTGGTGGTGGGGGGCTGAGGCTTGAGGCTGCAGACTTGGTGGATGATGCGTCTCGAAACAGCAGCATTGAGGGCTCACTGTTCGTTTTCATTTGCTCGTGCTGACAGCACAGAATAATACAGAATAGAATCGTCCGATTCCGGCAGGCACTCAAGACCGCATGCTTACCATCTTCGCGGCAACGAAACGGAGCGATGGCCTCAGCCAGGCGTTTCCGAGGACAGCAGGCCTTGTGTGGCGAGCTTTCTACACTACACAGCGTCGGACTCCGGCCGCTCGTAATTTGCTTGTTGAAAAGTACTAGATACCCAGCACACCACAGGTCCTCATGTCATAAGTCGTGCTGGTCATTGTGTTGCCTGCATGTTGACTAGTTTACCTCGAGGCTTCCACAGTGGCGTGGAAGCCATCGTCAGGGAGATGTGGAGAATGAGCCAGCAACCTGGGCAAGCGCAACAGAACCACCATTTCGCCACTCGCCAGCATGCACAGGCAGACTTCGCTAGTCAGAGCTTGTTGGTAGTACAGCTTCGTTTTGCAAACTCTCCGTCTGCATGTTAAGTAATTAGTGTTGGTGCAGTGGTTTCTTAGGAGCGCAGTTCCGGGTTTCACCTAGGTCTTCAAGCTCGTCGTCCCAAACTCAGCCGCCGGCAAGATCATCGGCCGTGATGGCAGCAACACGCGCGAGATGAAGAGAGAAACGGGCTGTCGCATCAGCATCAGCCGGCGAAATCCAGGCGATGTGGCGCGGCGCGCCCTCATGAGATGTTTTCTGGATTTGCTGGTGTTCATGAAAGCTATGATGCTGCTGATTCTGCAGCCGAGAATCCTTGCGCATCCGCCTGCTGTGCTGGCCGTGACTTCTCGAACGCTCAGTCGCTCCATTGCTTCCTTTTCACCTTCCTTTCGTTCTGTTGGTCGGGCCAGCATCATCTTGCACTGCCTTGATCTTCACGGAAATCCTAGACATTTGCTTCTGCAGAACTTGCTTTTGAGATAGGGTCTGAACAACCAGGTTCCTTTCTCCCATTAGATGAGATTATATTACGTATATGTTTGACACTGTTCTAATTGTTGAAGTCTTTCGATTGTTCAAAGCCCGACTCGTCGTCCCAAAGCGAATTCCGCCGGATTGCCCTCTACCCAAAACATCTACTCAAGACTGTGCTTCTGCAGCAATCCACCTGGCATTGCATGATATTTCAATGGCTCTGGCAAGGAGCGTTTAGGGTTTCGCAGATACGCGTCTGCCAATACAAGCAATAATCCTTGGGAGTGGTTGATTTTCCCACCAGAGCTCCAAGCTTGAGGTTGGTTGCGATGTGCTGCAGTCTGCTTTCGACACCCTTAAGAGACTGGTGCACTCTTAGTGAAGGCTTGCTGTGATTCCTGTTCTGCCACGACTGAATTTCTTTGGAGCTTCTTCCGATTTTTGCTCAGCCTCAGAGCGTCACGCGAAAGTACGGCAGTCTGTGCCACTGTTGCATGGCATCCTCCGGAACTCCGGCTGTCCTGGGCCGTGAGTCGAGTGCCTGTACTCATGTTTCTATAGAGCTCCGCCGCGGACCGTTCCTCCTTGCCGGCACATCCCAAGAAAGATCGAAAGGTCTGGCCAGAGTCGGCTACAAGCATGATCTGTGGAGCCATGTTGAGTCCATATGACCTAGACTGCTTCAAGAGAGGCTTAATTACATTGATTTGCATAATATGTCTTTCATCCCCCGAAACTGCTTTGTCAGAATCACTAGGTTAAAGCAGCTGGTGTTGTGAAGCGTTGTCTTCGAACAGGACATGACAACAAGGTCTGTAGCAAACAGCCGACTTTTGTTACAGACGTAAAGGAGTATGCTCCGGGTACCGGACCTGTTCCAGAGCAGTAACTGGAGCGGAGCGCCCAGTCCACTGGGCGCAGGAATGCGTTAAAGTGGGAGAGTCCAGCGCCACATGATATTTCTCTACCCTGGACCCATAAGTGCAGATGCTCGTCTGCAGCAACGGTGGGCAGGCACACCAAACTTTCAGAAACGGCTTAGCAAGGGAAGGCTTTGGAATTCAAACGAAATGATCCGTTTGCTTCATGCATCCGCGTGACAGCGTTTACGATGTAGTACATGGACCCAGCCCCTCATTGGGTCGACATGCTCCATCGGCAGTTACATGAGCATGCAGAAGCAGGTTTGTGGAGCAGACCTGGTGTGGCCTGGCAGGTATCCAAGAGCGAGTTGTTGTTCTACTTGCAAGCAAGGCCAGTCAGAAGCACGAAGATGTTCAGTCTCAGGAAGTCATCGCTCTGCAAGGTTCGACTTTTTCTCATGAGGGCTGCCTCGTTGCATCCAGGGCTTAGGGGCACGCAGAGCGAAAGGATTCATCGACACGGCTTCGTGAAGCTATTTCAACAGTTGGCTTCGTTGCACTACAGCATGTTCTTGGCTTGCGCCGTTCGGCCTTGCGGGGGATCTCTTCATGCGTTGAACAGTTTAGTCATGCAGCCGTCGAGCTGCAGGACGGATGCCTTGTCCAAGGAGCCGTGACTGTTCTGGAGTGCATCCAAGACGACCCGCATCTGCATGAGTTGCTCGCAGCTGTTTAGTGTAGTAGAAAGGTGTCCAGCTGTTGTTTTTTTCGTTCGACTCTTTAGCTAAAAGCCAGTGCAGATGGTGGCACACCGCAGTAGAAAGCCTTCCTACCAAGTCCATCGATGGCTCAGGCACATGGATTTCAAGTATGATGTGGAGCTTCCCCTTGGTTGCTGGGATTGCGGCAAGCCGGGCCCTGCTGAACCAGATGCAGAGCTGATGTCCCTGGAGGCGCCGTGCAACGAAACCAGCAAAAGCATTGAGGACTTCCAGCATCTTCCGGCAACGGAGCGAGACTCTTACTGTAGCAAGCTTGGACAACAGCAAGCTGCTGAACAGCGAAACAGAGGATCTTGCTACCAAGGTAAAGGCTTGAATGCGCAGTCATTGAACGGGTTCCAAGGCATCCGACTAGAAAGTTTGTCATGCTTCTGGAATGTTCCTTAGCTTTGGTACAGTGTTTTTCGGGCGCAGGCTGTTTAGAGACCATGTGCTGAGATCCCATGGGCCTGGAATTTGGCTTCACGAGAAGTATCCTCCCGCAAACCCGTGCAAGGGTGCATCCCCCAACAGCCGCACCGCAGTCCAGGAAGCCAGAGTATTGCCCAAACGATGCATCGTGGAACACCTCATGAAGGCTTTCCGCAGGGTCTGGGGTCTGTGCAATTCACAGAATCGAAGAGAATGCGGCCACATCTTTCGCAGGCTTCTATTCACTTCCCTGACATTCGGAGGCTGCTCCGAGAGAGATACTCGTCCGACACCGCCTGCTTGGTGGTATCAGGAAGATTCTCAAGGTGAAGACCCATGAGATGATTCTGGCTGCTGCTCGGCAGGACTATGGAGTGCCCCGCTCATCCCTCCCTGCAGCGCTGCGAAATTGAAAAGTGCAGCTCCCCACAGGGAAGTCATCAGCTCTGTTGCGCCCTGCTTTACTCGAAACACTTCCACACTAAAGCACGGGTTTCAAGCAACTCTCTCAAAAACACATGTACTCAAGCGCTTCCAACCTGCAGCTGCAAATGTGTCGGGACAGATGGTGAACTTTCCGCCGATTTGCTGAATGGCCCGACCGGGATTCCTGGCAATCGGAATGTTTGCGATTGTTGGATCCGCACCACATCTCAGGCTTTGGAAGAAGCTTTGCGCAGTCTTCCGGACCAGAATGAGGAGACGCTCAAGCCTAGACCGACATCAGGCCATATAAGACAAGCATCAGAAGGGACTCGGGGTGCCACGTTGGTGTCGCCGTGGTAGCGTTAAGTCTGATTTCTGAAAATGAATGAATCAAAACCCAAACCGAGGTCATATCGTGTGGCAGAACTAGTGGCTAAATCGGTGGCCGAGAATAGACAAACCCAAACCCCACGAGAAACCCACGGGAACCCCCGCAAAAACTCCGCGGGCACCCCACGGAAACCCCACGAGAACCCCACGGGAACCTTGCGGAAACTCCACGGGAACTCCACGGGAACTCCACGGGAACTCCACGAGAACTCCACGGGAACCTCAAGGGAACCCCACGGGAACCCCAAAATAACCCCACGAAAACTCCACGGGAACCCCACGGGAACTCCACGGGA